TGTCAAAGTATTTTGACCACTAATGTCATCGACACGTCAACACATCCTGTTTAGCATAGCATATTAAATTTCACTGCACCAAAAATATATTTACCAGCTTCTTCATACTAAATAGTGATAATTTAAATACGTCTGAGTTTTCAAAAACATTTTACTTTCCCAGACATAACTGGGGATGAGGGGATGATTTAAAGATTACTCTGGTAGATTAATCGTAGCAACTGGACTTCCCTGAGTTCCTTGAAGACATTCCACCTCTCATCCAAGAGGCTTCATCAGATGAGAGGTGGAACGTCTTCAAGGAACTCAACCAAGTCCAGTTGCTACGATTAATCCACAAAAATAACTACGACCTGGACGACTGAGAATCTTCACAGACATGATTTAAAGGTCACTCAGAACTAATGAATTGTAGCTATGTAAACTCTAATAAGATGAATACAACATAATGTTACCTATAACCCAACATATGAATGTGGTTAGCTCATAATATGCTAACACTTGGCCTGTCTGGGCTGGACATCAGAAGGTTACTGGTTAGCTAGTTAGGCCTGCAAGCATTAGCAGCTTCCATTAGAGCAGAGAAACGCATTACTCTGAAGAGTTGTCCAAAACTTGACTGGCCTGCCACAGCGACACTTGCATGGGCGACGGGTTTAGCTAACAGTCAATCGTACTTTTACTGTGAAGAAGTCAATTTGAGTGACTCAAACATTATGAGTTGACCAGAAGGATAGACTGGTTCTTGTTTCTGATTGGACAATATCAAAACTTTGCCAACAAAGTTTGTCGCCCGTTCTGCTTGACAGATACTCAGTCAGTGTATATTGTTTCCAATGAGAAACAGCATTGAAAAGTGGGGTCTCTTTTTGCTGTCAGATTGGTCCACATGTTGAGGTCTTGAGCATCTTTGGAAAGGTCAGACATTCAAGCACTTTGACCTAAACTAAAGGTCATTGTTACACCTGCTGAATTATCAGAAAGTCTTGCTGCAGTTCCATGTGATTTCAAAGGCTGAAAAGGTCATGAACTATAATGCATAAACTGAGCAGCTCACACAGTAGAAATGAGCTCAGACGGCCTCCAATTTCATAAATGCAAACACAGTATCCGTGCAACAGAGTCTCGTTCTGACCACACTTAAATATTATTCCGTCATCATGTCGGGTCTGAAGCCTGTTTCGTCGTCTAATTCCTCTTTTGTATCTCCGGCATCTTGAGGCATTAATGTTGTGTTAATCTGCACTGTAAAGTACAAGCGTTAAGCCTCAGTTAATTGCCTTCTATCTGAAGTTAACTGCCTCTGCAGGATGCTAGCTAAATACCCTGCTCTGTAGCCTTGTAGTGCTACTGTACTAACTACACAGCGGGCAAATGAGTGCTATCATACCATTAGATTGTAAACTATGTTTTTGTAAAACTGAACACGTTTCACAATAATCAAAATGAACACAGTGCATCATTTAGGTTGGAGCCTTACTCCGACATGCGCTGAGGACAACATTTAAATAACCTGTTGATGGTTTTCGAGCTGCTTATTGTGGCAGGTTAAACTTTATGTGGCCCACATGTTCTGCAGGGACACATCATGGTGGTGTCTCTCACAGCAGGGCGACCAAGCAGCTGTGCCTTCAGTCGGCGGTTGTGGTTGCAGTCGCCGCCACACTGACACCAATGCATAAAACATTGGATCCTTTCTAGTCGCTGCTACCTGTTGGCACAGACCCAAGCTGCCCTTTGTTCTGTAGCGTGGTTCTGAAAGAGCCCCGCTTTAATTTACACCCTTCCTCTCAGTGAAACAAATGGTGGCGTATGCAGTACGATAATGAGGCGATGTTTCCATAAGCTGTTCCTCATCAGTGTTTACGCCAGCTGACTGGCATGCTCCATTAACGGTCCGCCTGCTTTGGCTTGCTTTTTTTTCTTTTTGCACCGAATGCAAATTTGCCAGCGTGCATCACATGCAGCATTTTTAGAAGTCTGAGCTGTTGTAAAGTGTGAGTCTGTTCGGATAACTGAATTAAGATAACGTCAATCATCATCATCAGTATGTGCTACCACACGACTTATACATACAAAGACAGTCTGTAGTATCTGATAACATGCATGTTAGTAGTTTAAGGTGTATGATTATTGAACATGTGTCCCAATATGAATGAGAAGTTTATTCAAGCATTCCTGAACTCTGTTAGTAAGATTTAGTCTTTAACCTTTTTTTGTGAGATAAAATACTAATGATGATGTCATAAAATACATGACTGCTAATGATTAAGAATAACAATATGTGTTATTTGACTAAAATGTCTTGCCTTTGTTTACGCTGGAATTTTAACTTTACAAGTGTTTCTCAGAGGCGGAGCTGCTGTGGAGGTTACAGCAGTTTGATTGGTTGAGTGAGTTGGTGGGTGGAGCCAGAGAATGACTTTAAAACAATGGTCCAAATTAAAACACAAGTGATTTCATTCTATTCATTCATTCACAGTCCATGACATTCATTATTTTCAGACATCAGCACATTAGCTAACTGCTTTAC